TTCTTTTTTCGTTGTTTATATACCTTATCATTTTATAGACTTTTCCATTTCTCTTTGCTTTACTCATCTAATTAATTTATCATGCTACTTTCTATATCTTGTTTGTTCTATTTTAGTTTACAAATATATTTGAATCTTCAAGCCATATGTTTATTTTGCTTATACTATATGAGGTTTAATTCTGTCACACTGACCTATCTTGTATTCAAACGCTGATTTTTTGTTAACTGTTTTTTAATGTATTTGCTTTGTATTTCTTAAATTGCTAATCTCCAAAGGAACTACTTCTAAAAACATCTTCTAAAATTAGTTTCAGCAAAAATGTTTTAAAAGAATTTTCTGTAGAAAGGCACATCACAGAAGTCTCTGGAGTCTTTTTTTATTTATTGTTTTCGAATTGTCAAGTACACTTAAAACTATAAAGAAACTCATAAAGTGTAATCCTACACCTCACTGTTTTTGACTTTGCAGTAACCTATATGAAATATGCATAAACAAATCCTCACTCTCAAACATTTATGTGTAGGTGCCACGATCTGTCTTCATTTATTCTCCAGTTTTGAGCGTTTAAAAAATCCCATTTCATTACAATTATAACAAAAGTGGTTGACCTTTATTGTGACCTTGGTCTTTGCGATACGTTTGTCACAAGTTAATAAACTGGTTCTTTATGGACATTCAATCTTTGTACCACATTGGATCAAAATCAGATGAAAGCTTTCACAGTTATAATGTTCACACATACGGACTGGAGTGAAAACAATACTTCCAGTGTTGGATGGGCATTATCCTACAATATTTTATTTAAATAGAGGCCTTTATAATAGAGCAAAACACGAACGTAATAATAGGAAGCAGTTATTAAACATTTCGGGGTCTTCAAAATTCTATCATCAGTAATCTAGAGGTACAAAACAAACAAACAATATTTGTAATTACAACAAAAATGATATACATAAGAAGTAAATAATTTGAATACACAAAGTATAACAAGAGAAAAAGAAAAACATAGCACAAATAAAATATTTAAATCAAAATACATTTAAATCAAGTGAAACATGTGTATTACTTACGGACGGAAGAAGAGTTTTATGTATAATGTTTCTTTTATTAGAAGTCCAGTGTCATGTTTGGCTGTTGAGATAATTTTAAAGTTGGAGAGAGAAATCGGATGCCCTGTTTCTTTATTTTGCTGGTAGATAGCGGAGTTGGGAGGGTTTTGATCTTTCTTCTAATTTTTATACATACTAGCAGAAATACCCGCCTTCCGGGAAGGTATAACTGCTAGTTCCTGCGGAAGGCTATTGGGCCTGCGGCCTTTTCTGGAATTGTCTGCCAATTCTACAATAATTTACTCAGACTTGACATTCAATAATTTCACCATCCATGTGAAAAAGGATTTTATTGAAAATTTAGTTTAAAAATCAGCTACTATCACAGCATTAAATCACAGAATAGATTTTATTGAGGTATTTCTTTGTAGATGCAGTTATCAATGAAAGTGCCCTGCTTTTCTGTTGCAACACTCATGAGAATTTCACCAAAGAAAAACAAATATTTTTTTAAGTTTTTTTGAGTGTTTTATATTTGAAACTATTCCTTTTTTTGTATTTTTTATTGGTTAAACCTGAAACTTTCTCCTTTTTGTTCGTAATTTATATTGGTTGTATCTGAAACATAATTTTGTGGAAATTTCAATTTTGTTTATTTATTGCTCAGCTATAAAAAATACTGCCTAGTTATAAATATATTACCTAGTTATGATTAGTGATGACCTGTGTGGTAGTTCTCGAGAGTTGGACGTATACATCGCAAGCTCCATTATAATAAGATGTCTATGTGTTCACATGCTCATACTTTAAGGTGACATTTGGTTTCACCAATATTGGAGGTCTTACAGACTCTGCACGTAAATAAGTAGATGAGATGAACGATGGGCAGTCAGCACACAATGTTTGTAGTGGAAAACGTTATCTAGTCTGAAATTGGGTTTCATGATAACTTTCAGGTCAAGTTGGGGAGAGTAAATTAATTTTTTCAACTGTTTCGTGATTATGGAGCTCAGGTAAGATATGGTAAGCATGTGTAGGATAGAAGTTTGGGTACAGTGGGTATATTAGGTGGTTTGACAAACAAATTAGTTAAGAATGAGTAAGTTATTTTCTACAAGAAATGCTTAGGGTAGCCGTTTCTAAAGAAATTAATTTCTTCCAAGCAAAGCATCCTTTTTCTATCTACCAGCACAATACAGAAACATGAACGTATCTATCAGAAGTACATTTTCAGTGTTGAAAAATGTTAACTTTTTCAGATACATACTAAATGCATAACCTCTTCTCACATCTAGCTAGAACTCCACATTGAAGTGGTGGAGTAACCATTGTATAATTTTATCTAGATGATATCCCTTTGGGAACTGCCCGAAAATAACCCATGGAGTGCAACACCCTATAACTTGAAACAGTACAAGTGCATGCTCAGGGGAGACTACATCTCATCTGTATCAGGGTACTCTCCTCACTCGGAAAGAAAGGAAATGCTGTTGCAGAAGGATGGGCAGAAGATACAAGTACAGTCTGAAACCTGCATCAAAATTTTTGAAGGGCTATATTGTAATATGGTTAGAGCACGTCAGACCATACATAGCTGGTCAACTCCAGTCCAAACCAAGTAGCATCTAGAATTTGACTTTCAGGCTGCAGTAGGAGGAGGGTCCCTACCATATTCACCTCAAGAATG